CCCCAAAACCCCAAAACCCCAAAACCCCTATTGCTAGAGTAGAGCAATTTATAGGATATAAATTAATATATTATATTTCTAGTTAGGGTAGGATTTAAAGAAAATATTATAAGATTTATTCTTTGTGAACTCTTAAATGATGGAGGAATCATTGGTAGAACTCCTTGGCTTGATTGAGTTGTGGAGTGCAACCGAATGTGGCATCATCAATTCCACAATCTTTTTGCTAGATCTTGAAGAAACCATTCTCTCCAAAAGAGGTACCCCATGAGTTGGCAGCAATCCAGTAGTTTTAATTACCATCAACTCCCCATCCAATGAGTTTTACAGCATGTCCACCTAAATATTTTCCAAGCACGTGGTGATAAACTCCTGATTTGTAATTGTAGAAATCTGCATAGACTCTAAAACCAGTTTCGACTGGACCTGATTATGAAATCAAAGTTTTAGTAGCTTCGACACCGTTTGCTTGCTTTGTAGATCCTGTCTCACATTTGTATTTTACGTATTCTTATGAGCTATCTGTGCAAGTGCTGGGGCATGCTGGGACAGTTTTTCCATCACCTGACTTATATGGTTCACACTGGTCAGTTGGAATACCCTCTTTTTCAAGGAATTCCCAAGCTTTATTAAGATAACCTCCATCACAGGCGTAGTTCTAGGTATCACAGGAGACCATGTCTTGAGGAGATAGGACAACATTAGTTTATCCTTTTGAGGCGATACAGAATCTATCTGAAAGTGCTTCTGATGCAGCAAAAGCCCAGCAAGAGCCGCATTGTTGCTAATCTTTGATAGCATGGACACAACCTGGCCATTCAGTTCTGGAGTCGAAACTAGATGGAAGATCCTTGAGAGGTTGTACTCTGGGAACATTTTGAGGTAGGGTTTATGGAGTGTGGAGAACAGTTCCCAAGAGAGACTGAAGTTATTAGTCAGTATAGTTAGCAAATCTGTTCTCAGAGACACTTGCTGGTTACCATAGAGCATTAGTTTGTCTAATGAAATCAACCATTTCTTAGTTAACTATTGAGTTAGCTGAAGCGATTGCAGCAACTGTGCCGACAATAATAAGCTTTAACATATCCACTTTTAATTATTATAATAGATGACCTTTAATTTCTAGAAACCTTTAATTATTCGAGCATTAAATTCATTAATAATCTTTGAGTATCTTAGCATTAGATAGTTTTGACATGTAGGGGTTTTGGGGTTTTGGGGTTTTGGGGTTTTGG